TGTGTGTGTGTGTGTGTGTGTGCGTGTGTGTGTGTGCGTGTGTGTGTGTGTTATGTCTGCCCATTCATCACCTGATAACACCCATTACCCTGACAGTGGCTGGAGTATGGCTGCACAGGCTCCACCAGTCCTTGTTAAAACGCAATTAATAATGTGAGGCGTTTGTGCCACCAGCTCACAGGACCTTTAATCAGGGAGGTAATGGGCCGTTATTGAAAACGGCACCAGGGGACCACGTGCTTCTCGCCTGCTGTGCAGACCGACGCCCGACATGTGTTGTGGATGAAACACCTTTTCATGTTCTGATTTGGTGGTACCTCCCTTGAAGTCTGAGAGCCTGCAGAAATATATAAGATGAAAAGAGAAAACGGTTATTTACAGGTTGCATATCATCAGTCTATGAGAGGTCTATGAGGTGTTCATGGTTTTGTTTGACAATGACCACGTCATAGGCAAACATGTTTATTTAAGGGGAAGCTATTCTGCTCATTTTCAGGTGTATATAAGTATTTAGTCCCTTTACTCTACTGTGACATGTCTCCATGCTTTAATGTTCAAAAAGCTCTTTATTCTCTCATACTGTCTGTGCTGCAGCACCTCTTTTCACCCTCTGTCTGAAACCAGAGCCCAGTCTGCTCTGATTGGTTAGCTGGCCGGCTCTGTTGTGATTGGTCAACCGCTTAAAGATGTCCCGCCCCTTAGCCTATCACGTACAATGTGTTGGAGCACTACCCAATAGAAGCGCAAGTGTTACATAGTGATGTCATTATGTTACACAAGTAAACAAAGGAGTCCAATGGAGGCGTTTCAGGGATTGTTGGATTTTAGCCTTTGCAGACCATTTACATGCACTGAAACCTATATAACACACTACAGGAAGGGACAACCACAAAAGCAGAATAGGGCCTCTTCAAATGCTACTTTTTCAGAAGTTTAATTGCCACCCTTACGCGAGCAGACTTCTCCAGGTGAAACGAACATGACACGGTCAGGTCTGCGTTCTGGATGAAATGCCACATTAACACGGTTAATATTTCTGAAGATGCCAGGGCTTAGTGTGTTCCCTGCTATTGTCTTCTTCTCAGTTCTTTTCTCATTTGCATTAATCCCGTTACACAAACACACACTCAGCCTCATCACCCCACCAGGCCTGACTCTTGACTCTCCCCCCCCCCCTCTGGTACAAAGCTACGCTTGTTTCTCCTGCCCTCGCTCTCCACCCCGACACGCTGATCAAAGCTGGGTTTCAGGGTCCTCCATGACAGCCTTTAAAGCCGTTCCAAGCCTGTTGTTCAAGACATGAAATATTCACTGTGTGTGTGTGTGTGTTTACGTGAAGCCAACATATAGGAATACAGGTGGGCTTAAGTACAGATAAAGAAATGGGTCACAAGTAGAGCTTTATATAATCATTTTTAGCTATTAAAATGAACAGAAAACCTCAATTACCAGGCACGTTTTTAACTGAAAACTGATAAGAACAAGCCGTAAAAAAAAAGCTCATTATTCTCCATTAAAACTGTATTCCTAACGCGCGGTGTTTCAGCAGTGGAGTGGGATGCAGAAATAAATCGCAGAGAGCAATTTCCCTGAATGGTTTCTGACGGATGAGTCAGAGATTGAAGTGAGCAGAACTGCTGTGTGTTTGTGTTTTATTCATAGTGGAGATCATGGGATGCAAAATTCTGTTTAATCTTTGGTGCCATAACGGCTTCAGACTGACACCCCTGCAGCGATATAACAGAAAAAACACGAGGGCACACTAAAACATTCTATATGTTTAGAATTCACTTGAATACAATATTTCTACACCATTTTCAAAGATTCAAAGGTGCATTCATGGCTTTATTAATGTATGTCAAAAATGATGAAAATAAGTTTAGCTGCTGCACAGGCTCCTGCTTAATTCGTTTGTTGGTGCCTGGCATCCCAACATACTGTATCTGAGAGTAACATGACAACATCTGCCAAAGCTGCCCAAATCACCTGAAGGATTATTCCGTCCAGGCTGTGAATAACTCGTGTGAACGTGGTTCGGCTGAAATCTACTCCACGTTGCTCTGAAAAGAAAAGGTGTTAATAAAAGATAATCGTTGTTCTGCTTTCTGTATTTTAGTTGCAAGATTGTGGCGTAATGGCACATAATAAAATCCAAAATGAAGTCAAATGATCACAGTTACTGGAGCATGTTGGTGGTTACTCGTTCCCTTCATGTATCCTTCATTAGTCTGGGAACCATGTGTGTCAGAAGGTCAGAGTGTGTGTGCGTGTATGTGTGTGCGCGTGTGTGTGTGTGTGTGTGTGTGTGTGTGTGTGTGTGTGTGTGTGTGTGTGTGTGTGTGTGTGTGTGAGAGTGTGTGTGTGTGTGTGTGTGTGTGGTCTAGCATTACTATACTTGTGGGGACCTAAATCTGTTTACATAGTCATGTGTGGGGACTGGCTTCCCTTATGGGGACAAATTGGAGGTCCCCATGAGGGGAATCATTCATTTTAGGGTGAAGACTTGGTTAGGATTAGGGTAAGGGTAAGGTTAAGGGTAAGGTTTAGGGTTAGGCATGTGTTAGTTATGGTTAAGGTTAGGATAAGTCTCCAGGAAATGCATGTAAGTCAATGTAATGTCCCCTGAAGTGATGTATACATGGTATGTGTGTGTATGTGTATGTGTGTGTGTGTGTGTGTGTGTGTGTGTGTGTGTGTGTGTGTGTGTGTATGTGTGTGTGTATGTGTGTGTGTGTGTGTGTGTGTGGTGTGTGTGTGTGTGTGTGCAAGACCCAGATACACAGAACATCTTGCAGGGTGTGTGCCTCTATATCTGTTCATGTTTGGAGCACAAAAGCCGTGGCTCACAAGGGCCATCTGGGAATCTGGCTGTTGTAATTACATTTGATATGAAGAAGGAAGGCAAAGGAAGGAGGGAAGGAAGGGAACAGTGGGTGACGACGGAGAGGAAGGTTACGAAAAAGGAGAGATAAGTGAGAGTTGGAGGGAGAAAAAGTAAGCAATGTGAGACAGGAGGGATGATGGGGGATCAGTGGCAGATTCTGCTGCAGGCAAAATACTGGAGGAAATGGTTCATGTGAGGACACACACACACACACACACACACACACACACACACACACACACACACACACACACACACACACACACACACACACACACACACACACACACACACACACTCTCTCCAGCTGTGGATGAATGTTTTGCAGGGTGCCCACTCAGCCAAAACGACTGTTAATCCAACAGATGCCCAGGAAATCTGCCGACTTTTTAACATCGAGAACAGGAGGCAATTAGCTTAATACATGGCGGTTTAAATGAAACATAACAGAGGAATGTTTAGGAAGTTTGTTAATTAGTAACACTCATTGAACAATACATTTGACTGAATGAGCGAGGTGTTTTCAATCCGCCCTGTCACTCTCTCGCTGTGTGTGTGGTCTCCTCCCTCTCACACACACATTGAGGGATGCTCCACAGTGGTAATAGCAGCTTTCAGCCTGCCATTGTGCTTCTGTTGCTCCACTGCTTGTAATTACGCCAGTGTCAGGTGCACCATTAAATGTGTGCCCTTACGTTATGTGGTGACTTGTCAACTTGCAGAAAGGCCTTTGTTTGTGTGTGATGTCGGAGATTCTGCTTGGTTACGTCCCCGCCAGCCCTTCCTTAAGATTCTGCCAGACGATGTCAGACATTTTCTACACTGGTGATAATTATGTCTGCTCCTTGTTATTCTTTTATTCATTTAAGACTGGGGACCTGACAACCGCCACAGCCCATCTGGCAGTTGTAGATTCGTTTTACGAGGCAATTGTTAGCTAACTGTTGTCTCTTTTATTCTCTTCTACAGTCCTGTGCTGTTTCATGCTACAGTTTGTTATTAATAGCATTTTAAAGCACCATGACTCAAGTAAAGCCTCTTCAAGCCACCAAGACAAATCTGCAATCTTGATTACTTGAAGGTCCCCTATATTACTCTTTTCCAACAATATATATAAAACATGTCTCTGAAGTGTTTGGCCCGAAATACCAAACAGATCATTGTAGCGTCCCATAATCCCCTCTGTTTCAGCCCTTTTCCAAAAGTGCTGATTCTTTGTCTGTAGCTTTAAATGCTAATGAGCTGCTGCTGGCCACGCCCCTCTGCAAAGTGATTGGTTTAAAAAACACAATAGGCGCGTTCACACCGGAGTACTTTTCCCCGTACTTTTCCCATTTAGTTCCGTTAGTACCCCTTATGTCGCGTTCACACCAAAAAGAGTACTTAGTGCCGGGAACTTTTACCCCCATTTTTAGTGCCTGCTAGAGAGGTGGTACCAAAAAAGTACACATTTTTTGAAGCCGCCATTGTATTTGCTGGCATTAGCATTATTAGCATTAGCATTAGCCCCGCGCACCAACAGAGAGAGAATAACTTATGGCAACACAAAAAAACGGGTTAGCGGTGGAGTGATGAGGAGGTGTCCCGATTTACCCGGAAGTCCCCAACTCCGGGGACTTCCGGCCAGGGACTTCGGGTGGCAGTATACGCTGTGAAGTTGTTAGCGGCCTGCCAGTAAAGCAGAAGAAGACGAAGTGACGTCAGCGGCTCATTTGCGTAATCTTCCCTCAGGGAAAAGTACTCCGGTGTGAACGCGATTGGTACTTAGTGCCCTGGGGTACTAAGTACGGCAAAGTACTTGGTATGAAAGCGGCTAAAGGTGCTCTAGGAGATTCAGGTGATAAGATGGGCTTTACCTTGGTTGGTTATTGGCCAATGGTTTCACAACCCAAAAACACATTGTGACATCACAGAGTGGCCAAAATCTGATCAGCTCATTTTCAGACAGGTTAATATATAAATGGATCAGGACAAAAAGAGAGAGAATCTTTGTTCCTGAAACTTTCCGAATCTCCTAACACAGAGGGGACACATCTTTATATATAAAAGACATGAAAAAGTGGATTTTGCATAAAAGGTCAAAATACATTTGTAAAATCTCTGTGTGTTCCCTCAGGTGGCCTCCCTCGGTGTGACCACCTTCACCCTGTGCGCCCTGTGCATCGACCGTTTCCGCGCGGCCACCAACGTCCAGATGTACTACGAGATGATCGAGAACTGCACCTCCACCACGGCTAAACTAGCAGTCATCTGGATCGGTGCTCTGCTGTTGGCCCTGCCGGAGCTCCTCATCCGACAGCTGGTGACCGAGGACACAGGAAATCCTGACGAGCCTCCTGTTGAACGTTGCATCATCAGGATATCCACCTCGCTCCCCGACATGCTCTACATTCTGGGTTTGACCTACGAGGGCGCCAGGCTTTGGTGGTGCTTCGGCTGCTACTTCTGCCTCCCAACCCTCTTCACCATCGGCTGCTCTTTGGTGACGGCGCGTAAGATCCGTCGGGCGGAGCAGGCCAGCGTGCGCAGCAACAAGAAGCAGATCCGTCTGGAGAGCCAGATGAACTGCACCGTCGTGGCGCTAGCGATCGTGTACGGAGCGTGCGTGGTGCCGGAGAACATCTGCAACATAGTGTCCGCGTACATGGCGGCCGGTGTTCCTGAACACACCATGTCCGTCCTCCATCTTCTGTCCCAGCTGCTGCTCTTCTGTCGGGCCGCGGTGACTCCGGCGCTGCTGCTCCTCCTGTGCCGTCCGCTAGGAAGAGCTTTCCTGGACTGCTGCTGCTGCTGCTGCTGTAACCACGCGCCCTCCTCGGCAACCGGCAGCGACGATAACGAACACGAGTGCACCACCGAGCTGGAGCTGTCTCCGTTCAGCACCATCCGCAGGGAGCTGAGTAACTACACCCCTGCAGGCTCCCACTGCTAAACTGACGTTCCTCATCAGGGATGGAGACTTCACTAGCCTGCTATTAGCCTTCAGCTAGCGTTTCTCGGACTCGGCTAGAAGAGATATGCCTTAGCTAGTCTAGTCACAATTTTAAATGGGTGCATGAATAAAGTGGGACACTGAATAATCACATTCACGTCCTAAATCCTTAACTTTCATTCCTTACAATAATCCTCTACATTCACTGTAACCTGTATGACCCTAATTTCACAGGAAAGCGTACAAAAAGCATCTTCTTCACTCATGCCCTGGGGTGCTCTTCAAACAGGGTCAGTACTTATTTTAAGCAATCCTGCCTGAAACTGTAATACTTACAATTACAACAAATACTTACAAACCTGCCTGCTGTATGACCTTCTATGCCTGAATATCAGTTCGGATGAACCTACCTGGTTCCTTAAAAGAGGTTCAATAATATCTTCTTAAATTGAAAGGAAAATGTCCCTCGGTCTCGTTGTATGGGCAGGTTAAGCTAAAACTATTTATACTGTTACACAGGAATATCATTGTACAGTATGCATCACAATATGTTCTGGTTAATTTAATAAAATCACTTAAATCACTTGGGATGATGAAGTGTATTTGGCCGTCATTTAATAATAATTATGTATGGGAAACTATACTGTATTATTATCAATGCCAATCATCTTCCTAGTGAGTCATTGTTGGAGACTAATTAATCAAGATTAACCTTGTATAATAACTCAAAAATGTGGGCACACACTGCCTATATAGAAATACAGGACTCAGTTTACAGGCTATATAAGCTGTATATGTACAGTTCATGTAATGCTGTACACAAGGGAACAAGGATAATTAAACTAGTGCAGGGTGTCTCTCAGTAATGACGGTTTGCAAGAGAAGAAGAGAGTGGGTTGGACGATCCAAATGTACACAACAAAACTTAAACTGTATATTGAAAAATATCCAGGGGACTAAAACATTACTGGGCTGGTCTCAGAGATACATAAACACGGACTTGAGTGGAATAAAATGGACTCAAATTGGAGTCGAATGGATTGGAAAGGAGTCAAATGAAATTGAATGGAGGTAATATAAATACAGAGAACTGCAAGGGATGGACTCAACACGGACTGGACTGAAAATAAATATCTGCACTACACTGTTGTATCATGTTACGCCTTACACGTTGGGCTGTATATAAACTGTACACTTTCTTTGGTGCTCTTATATGATAAATGCGCTGTGAACAACAAATCCTTCGGTTCGAGTTGAAATCGCAAGTAATTGAGCTGCGTGCTGGGATTTTGGTCAAGAAGACAGATTTTACAGTTGTGTGTGGAATACTTGAACGATGGTGGTGTGAAAAACAAACAAAAGAAAATCAATAGAGTTTCACTGAGATGCCATATAGAGATCGGCTGAAGCCCTGAGTGTTGTTAGACACATCAAATCAAATGTGGTCACACTTTATTTTACAGTAGGCTACCCAATTATTCTGTGGTTAATAGGTTTTAATAAATTGACAAGGTACAGACTTGAATAGATTATCAAGCATCTGCATATTTGTATTAATACATCAGTATAGGAATACAATTTATTTGTGGTTTATGTAACACATTAACAGTGACATCATTAACTTGGTCGCAACAGCATATTACTTAATTACTATCACAAAAAAGTGCCAATACTGCATTAGTAAATTGTTCATATGACTACTTTTAAGAGGTTTATTGGATATCAATTATGTTTGTTTTATTTCTTAACTGTAAAGTGCATTATTGTACAATCAAAACGTAGTAATCACATAATGCTAACTTTGTGTCAGGGACAAGCAACTTCAACGTCAGGCTTTTAGCAATATGTAATGTATGTGACCATCAAATGTATATTTAAGATCACTTTTACAGGGTTCTCAGTTTAAAATGACTTTATGAACCAACGCACGCTGCTAATGTTAGCTTAGTTAGCTACCTACAGCTAATGAAATCAACAGATCGTGTTCTTAGCACATAGAAGAAAGAAATCTAATCTAAAATGAAGGTCCCATTGTGTCAATTGGAAGGTTAATTGAAAATCTGCCTCTGTGGTCAGCATATGTGCCATGCAAGAAAAGTTAGCTTAACTAGCGTAGCAACGATGACCTAAGAGGGTGAGTTTTCATGGATGGTAAATTAACAGAAAAAAAAAAGTTCTTGACTTATAATAACATTGGCAGTTTCATTACTTGGGTTTTTTAAGGAGAACCAATTAAATGTTTTTCACAGCGTATACATTTACAAGTGTATTGTACTGTAAATCTGTTTTCTTAATCCTACCAATCAGACCTGGGTCAAAACAACGTTCCACCCTCCATCACAATGTATAACAACGCAGGTAATTGAAGTTACGGTAAGTGTGTAAGAGGCATCTCAGGATGACCAAAATGTACTTAAAAGCCATTCATGTGCTTGCTAACCGAATAAAAGACATGTTCCTAATAGTGTATAGAACCAAAATGGCTGCTGGTGAACTCTGTGATGACCCAGGTGTGATATTCAGTGGTATTCTGTATATTGCGATGAATCTTTTACATACGATTCTGCACTGCCAAACACCTTCTCTCTGTCTGTTTCTCGTGCTCTTGTGGTAGTAGCACACTATCTCTGGGTGTCTCTCTCAGCGCGGAGGTCAGCTCGCCCTCAGCTCCATCGACACAGGATTTAACTACGAATCATAAATCACAAATGATATGACAGTGCCCAGGGCGAGTCATACTAAAAATATACTCTGAGAGAGAATCTGTGGATGACGGGTGTTTTGTGTTTTTCCTGTCATGGCTGGAGGCAACAACCCTTTGGCTTTAATGAAGTGCAGTTTACGAGCTCCAAGAGATCCAGGTAGCATGCAGTTCTTCAAGTTAATGGAGGAAATGGGCAGAAACACAGCAGCACGGCAACACAATACCCTGCAGCCGGTTTGACAACTATTTTTATTACCATCATTATCAGGCTATTGTGGGCCCTTGTGTAAACCTGTCCAGGGATCTCAGTTGATATGCTCTAGCACTAGATTCTATCATTAAATCAAAAAGTTTTTTATGTCCAGTTCACTTTGGTAACGTCAGGATTTCCCCATTTATTTGATGCGACAAGTGTTAGCTGACCTCCTGAAACTGATTCTCTTTTTCTGAAAGTATAGCCCATTCTAAATGGCTCAGTGTGTAGTAACGTGGTTCAATTCAATATTGATGAAGTGATTCTTGTTAATCAGTCAGTGGGACGTTTATTCTGAATTTTGTGAGTATCCTCTTCACTCTGAGCTAATTGTGTCTGTATTTGATACCTGAAAATGTAAGCACACAACCACTATTGTCTCTAAGTCTAGTCACTGGTTTCTACATAGCTTTTTATATAGCCAAAAACTGTCCCTTTGTTTATCAGAGAACTTTATCTTGAAAACTGTATATTAAAACCATAAATGTACTGTTGATGCCGTGTTGATTTCTTGTGAGTACTAAGGTCAACTTTGTCGAAAACATATTTGAGAATAGTGAAGAGAAAATAGAAGTGCATCATGTGAATGAAACTATATTTCATCATCACCTCAAGCAAATGTTATGTAAAAGGGATAATCCAGACCAGTGCATTCATGGAAAATGTTTGTTTCTCTAGCAATGGAATATTTCTACTAAATACGTTGAACTTTAAAAAAGAGAGTTGAAGATCGATCAAGCAGTGATTCTATAGAATGGGTCAAACTCACACAACTTTGAATCCTACAATTCTCATATTGCAACTGAACTAAACTTGTTAATATACCTTATGAAATCAGGCATGAAATCCCGATTATTATTCGTCATTCCTTGTGACAGGGGTGAATGTGAAGGGGTTTCAATTTTGGAATAACATTAGCCGCCGGCATGTCATTGAGGACATCAACACTTTTGCTTGAATATTCCAAGGCAATAGTTTGCTATCATCGTATTAAACCCGGTGTCGGTACCATATCTGCTCGGGGAATTTAACTTCTGTTAGACAGCCATATGCCATACATTTTTGCATACATTCACAGTAAATATTTATTCAGTATGATAGCTGTCTAACAGAAGTTAAATTCATTCCACACTTATTCTGACACTGTACTTAACCCCAAATAAAAGAACCCAATAAAAAGAGTTGTTAAATTACATTACATTACATTACATTGCATTTAGCTGACGCTTTTATCCAAAGCGACTTACAATAAGTACATTCGACCAGGAAGACACAACCTTGAAGAAAACAGAATCATATAAGTACATCAGGTTTCATAGAGCCAAACATTTCAAGTGCTACTCAACTGGCTTTAGGTAAGCCAGTCCTTTATTAGTATAAAAGTGCTTCGTTAATAGTTCTATCGCTCGAAGTGGAGTCGAAAGAGATGAGTTTTCAGTCTGCGCCGGAAGGTGTGTAAGCTATCTGCCGTCCTGATGTCAATGGGGAGCTCATTCCACCATCTTGGAGCCAGGACAGCAAACCCACGTGTTTTCGCCGATGGGAACTTGGGTCCCCCTCGCAGCGAGGGCGCAATGAGTCGTTTGGCTGATGCAGAGTGTAGTGCACGCGCTGGGGTGTACGGTTTAACCATGTCCTGGATGTAGGAAGGGCCAGATCCATTCGCAGCATGGTAAGCAAGTACCAGTGTCTTGAAGTGGATTCTAGCAGTTACCGGAAGCCAGTGAAGGCAGCGGAGGAGCGGAGTGGTGTGGGAACATTTAGGAAGGTTGAAGACCAGACGAGCCGCTGCATTCTGGATGAGCTGCAGAGGTCGGATATATATACTATTAAATAATAGTGAAGTCACGTTGTTATAACAATAACTCATCTCTCTCGGTTTTTCTTTTTGAGCTTTGCTAAAAGCCACTGTGTCAAGTGTCCATCTTGGGTTGCCGTCCGGACTTGTCCAATATGGCGGACCATCTCGCACATGCGCAGTACCGATCGGGCAGGGGAACGGATCGGGTAGTGACACCTACACCGGCAATCTTAATCTGACAGAAACAATACTGACACTTGCCTTTTTTTGCAGCATGTTCTTCAAGACTTGTGTGATGTCACTTCCTCAATGCTGATGTCACATGGACCGATCCATTTGTATGGGTCGTCAATGGTATGATCTGATGGGGGTTGCAAATAAACTCAGGGTTAATATTGCAGAAATAGATATTTATATAAATCTATAGTGAAAGTAGACAAATGTGAAATTCTTTGAAGCAGATGCATTTTTTACTTCATTTATTGCAGTTGTTTTACATTCAATGAACATATACAGTAATGATGGCCAGTGAGGTCATCTACTACTACATATTGAAAACATACAAAGATATACATTTGTTCTTAATAATAATGAGAACACACACTATGTATTGATGTCATTAAAATGTTGTTTCTTATAATTGAACATAAGGAAGTGGGGACTTACTGAGCGTTTGACTCGTAGCATTGGACTGACAGGTGACACAATTATTTGGTGACCTGCTATAACCTCACAGGAGGAGGTCAAACGTATTTAAACTATCCATCTAGACTGACTACATTAATGCTACACTTATTAATCTCCTCTGACACGATTAAAATAAAATAAAAACTTGGATCGGACTGAAGTAGGGCGGTGGTGGCGAAGTCGATATAGGGACTTGGCTTGGCAACTGGAAGGTCACCAGTTCAAGTCCCGGCAAGACCAAGTGCTACAGAGGTGTCCCTGAGCAAGGCACCGTTCCCTACACTGCTCCCCGGGCGCCGTTCAAAATGGCAGCACACTGCTCCAACACTAGGATGGGTCAAATGCGGGGAAACAATTTCCCCACGGGGATTAATAAAGTATATCAAAATAAAAAAAATTAAAGATCTGGGTTGGGCATCGTTGTAGATTAGTCTGCCATCCGTCAAAACCTGAAAAAAATGACAACTTAATATAAAAGGATGATGATTATATAATGTGTGAAAGAGGTATGCAGAAAGGAAATCTTCTTCTGAAATATGAAGAAAATCAGCTCCTTGGGAATAAGTCTTGTGTCTTCATGTAATGATTTATTTAAGATCCTCTCACAGTAGTAGTGTTAATTTTTCATCCTTTCGACATAACAGAGGAGCGTTTGAAATATTCATCAGCGATATATCACTGTGCTCTCCCAACACATCCTACACACACTCTCTCTCCCTCGCCTTATATGTCCTGTCTGCCGCTTCCAAAGTGTTATACAACGATGACGATAGCGGTGTGTGTTCGCGATAAGGAAGCAGAACAGAACCGTCTATACATCCTGTAACAGAATTAGCTGGAACACAGTAAGCAGATGCCAGAACACCAAAGACCTCTTGCTTGTTTCATTTCCCCCACACAGGTTTAACGAAGCAAAACAAAAGGACAAAGTAAAGGTGGATTTCAGCTTTTAGACAAATATAGGCTTTTTTAATTATGTTCTTAAATCGTTTTTTCAAACAAACATCACAACCACAAAAACATTTAAATAATGTTCTATTGTGAAGGTTTCCATCCATTACATCCGAACATGTTTTGGATGATTTTATTAACACAGAGACAAGTCCTGATCAATTAAAGATGGTGCAGGATTCACTCCTTAAACAGCAGAAGTGGCCAGAAGATATTTTCAGAAAGCTGCTGGGATTGATCCGTTTAAATCAGCATTATCAACCCCTACTAGGTTTTTGCTACCACCAAAATGTAGATAAGACTGGTTATAAGAGCTTACTCTTTCACTTAAATCCTAAAAACGTAGATCTTATATTTAAAACGTTATCCAAACCTTTCCCCTCTCTGACCTATCGAGGTTCTAATAGAGGGTAACAGGTTGCAGAGAAGGCCTAGCCCGGCCGGGGAGTGTGGAACGTAGCCACAGACCTACTCCTTACCTCTAACCAATTCAGGTTCCAGTGCCTCTCCACCTCTGTTTCCTACTTCTTACTTCCTACCCTTTTCCCTCTCCCTAAAGGCCCTGTCACACTGTCCCGAAATTGACACCCGATGGACACACGAATATGGAATTGTGAATTTCGCACGAAGATGGCCCCGAACCACACACGAAGGCAACATTTACATTACATTTAGGACATACAACTGCAACGAAAGTACCAAAAACAATTATGTTACAGTACTATGATACTGTACTGATATCTTCAGACTTTGTTCTTTACTTTATTCGTCTTTATATGTAGAAAATATTACGTTTTCTCCGTAATGTTGTTTCCATAACAACAACAACTTCCTGTCAACTGTCCTTCAAAATAATATATTATATCCTTTTTAGTTTCACAGAACACAAATTGGGTTATTTACATAATATATTTACATGATTTTGTTGTGCAATAAAACAACCCGATGGACACACGATAAAGGAAATGTTCAAATTCGGCTGTGATCGTAGTAACATCGGGCCATTCGTGAGGGCATCTAAGCCATCGTATGATCGCTGGTGGAGTTTCTCAGGCTCCGGCAGCAACTTCGTGAGCGGTGGCAAAATCTTTGGCATGCCAAAAAATTGCCGAAGGACCTTGCGAAGGTTCATTTTCGTGTTGAATTTGTGTGTCAATTGTGCCCTTCGTAAGGCCATCGTGAGGGCATCTTGTTATCATCGGTGCCATCGGGCATTCGCCCCGATCAGAGTGAGGACGAATGCACCGATGATAACACGAAGATGACACGATTTGACAAGATGCCCTCACGAGTGCCTTACGAAGTTGCCGCTCACGAAGTTGCTGCCGGAGCCTGAGAAACTCCACCGGCGGTCATACGATGGCTTAGATGCCCTCACGAATGGCCCGATGTTGCTACGATCACAGCCGAATTTGAACATTTCCTTTATCGTGTGTCCATCGGGTGTCAATTTCGGGACAGTGTGACAGGGCCTTTAAGGGAGTGCATGTATGTAGACACGTTAGTTTAGCTGCTATAGGCTTGGACTGTTGGGGGGGGCACCTTACTCCGTCTTTCTGGCTGTTTGTACCTGTGTACTCTCATGTTCCGATTAACCCAGCTTCCCCCAAATCTCTTTTTTGTGTCCATATCTACGCCGGGATCCTGAGTCCTGTGTCCTGGATCCTCTATCCTGAGTTATGGATCTGAGTCCTGGACTTCGAGTCGTGGCTGAACCTGTCTCTGCGGTCCTGCCTGACTCTCACCATACTACTTCACTGATGGCTCCCACAGGATTGTTGACATCCTCATGGATTCATCTTCTTATTACAGACACATGCATTTTCAAACATTTGGTCTACCTATGTTGTAAAATGTATTATCTCTTCAATTTACACACGGCATCTATTGCACGTCTGTCCGTCCTGGGAGAGGGATCCCTCCTCTGTTGCTCTCCCTGAGGTTTCTCCCATGTTCCCTTTAAACTGTGGGTTTTCTCTGGAAGTGTTTCCTTGTACGATGTGAGGGTCTAAGGACAGAGGGTGTCGTATTGTCATACTGATATTCTGTACACAC